GCAAGAGGCTCTACCTTTTGTATGATGTCATTGCAAGCCAAGAGCTTAATATGTTTAGGTTTGGATAACTTTTTTGTGTAACCAGGCTTAAGCCTTGGAATTTGTAGCCTCAGGGCATCTATTTTGTTGTTCTTTCTTTCTCTTTTATAACTACACGTGCTATGAATTCATCTTTTTAAGAGGGTGAATATGTATTGTATGTGAACACTTTTTGTATACTTCTTCTATGAAATGATGTACTAATTGAGGGAGTTGATTGATCGAGACAGGATCGTGTGTTAGGTACATTCATCTTATTCAATTTTTTATAATTTGCTAGCGTTACAGTACAATTGTCATTAGTTATGCTCTATCTTTTTATTTTTTCCAAGAAAAGGTTTGAAGGGATTGAGAAATCTCCATTACCTCATAATACTCATAATGTGGCCTTGGTGCCAAGATTCTCTCAAATAGCTAAACATATTTGATCTTCCTACTTGCCCATTAAAACCTTCATGCAAGTTATGATTAATGTACATATCCCATCCCTCTTAAGGAAAAAGAAACAAAGAAAAAATTATCTAAAAATATTCTTACACTGTATGATTAAGACATGTTCAAATATGACAAAATACATTTAAAAAATATTTTTAGAAAAAAAATGAAGAAGAACATTATTTTAAAGCACACTTAACAAACCAGTAGTTATAAATAAGGGTTCTTTTAACTACAACATATAAGTTAGTTAACATTTTAAGTTTACTTTTGTCATTGATTAACTTTTTTTAGCGAACAAAAGTAACAAAGAATAGGGTTAGCTTAGTGACTAGTGACGTACATAGATCTCTTTCGTTTTTTCAAAAAAAGTCACCAAACTGCAAAGTAATTATACTAGCATAAACTTTTCCTAAGTAGAGGTGTACGTAAGTTGGTCTGATGTTTAATTTAGGGTTTCAGAATTAGTCAAGGTACATATAAGTTGGCACGAACATCTGATTATCAAAATAAATAAACTTTTCATTGGTTAACCAGTAAGATTAACTTATTGACTAGCGAAGTACACACATTTGACTCCCTTTTCTTTTTGGGTAAATTATTTATGAGTCATATTTGGAAAACTTATACAAGATACGGTCCTATGAAAAAACTTATAACCCAATAGGTCCTGTGATTTTCTTGTGGGCACATTTACCCTCAATCTTAATTAATTAATAACCTGATCAATGATAATATCATATATGGAAAATTTAATATTATCATATATTGTGATCATATCTATATGGTTAGAAATTTAAAATTCAAAATAACCTAATTATGGCAATACTATGGGGGTGTTTGGGAAGTTACTATTTTAGTAAGCTATTTTAGTTTTTGGCTATTTTAATAGGCTAAAACTTTTGTATTTGAGAAGATAGTTAGATTTTTTTGTAGTTCGATGTGATATTTGTGAGCAAAAAAGTGAAATGATTATGGATTTGATGTGACTTTTTGTCTTATTGGTTATTTTAGCCTATTTTGTCATTTTGTGGATTTTAGCCCAAAAAGCCAAAAAAAGTCTTTGCCAATCCAATGTTACCATATATTATAATCATATCTATATGGTTCAAAATTTAAAATTCAAAACCTAAATGTAACATGTAACATCCTAAACCCAACGGGGCATTCCCAAATCAAACGTGACATTCCCATATGCTTATGAAATTCAAAATAACTAGATTAATGGCAATACCATATATGAGAAATCCAATATTACCACAGATTGTGATCATATCTATATAGTTGGAAATTTGAAATTCAAAACATAAATATAACATATAACATCACAAACTTAACGTGATATTCTCATATGCTTCTCATTCCAAACACAACGTAAATATAACATATAACATCCTAAACCCACCATGATATTCCTATATGCTTCTCATCACAAACCCAACGTGACATTTCAATACTCCACTGTTGAATTATGAATAATGTAATCTCCTAAATATAACATGTAACATCTCATCCCAACCCATCTACTAAACCATCATCACCCCCAACCCAGCATAACTTCAACATCGAACGATGAGATTCAATCCACATTCAATTACAAACCCAAATCCTCAATAATTTTGCGCAACGTATTGTAACATGTATGTAAACATTAATTACAACAAAGACACAATACATATTCAAACACAAATACAACCGAACAAACACACAAATGTCATCTACTATATGGTGTATGTGAATTAACGTTACATAGTAAATATAACATGCATTGTAACACGATCATCTAGGTCTCAATATACAATTGTCATCCTACAACGTGGTTCACATTCAACATCCATTTAACAACCAAAACCAAATATCCCCAACCCAACCCTTGAACCCATACACACCACCCCACACATCGAACATATCAAAACGCATTAACCATCACAATGTTAAGTACACACATTCAATCAGAACATTGGCCAAAGTGTGCCTATCAATGAGTGTAATAGATAGTCAATGCCCTATTAAAGATGAACAATTCACACTTCAACAAACAGCAAAAAAAAAAAAACCCCTCATTTCCTCAACCGATTAGAGTGAAATCTGTCAAAGGAATCAACACACAACCCTCAAACTTCATCATATCATCGGACCATATCCACATCCATTTAAGAAACATCTTGAAAATGCACTGAAATCCCGCAATTAAGGCGAAAAAAAACTTGCATTGTTGTTGCCTGTAGAGTTGTCTTTCCTAAATGCCTTCTCAAACGTGATATAATGAATGAGAAAATAAGGTACAATATAGAAACAAATTAGAGGAATAATAGTACACTAATATCATTCATTTACAACTCATAAAACCTTATGAAACACATACCTATTTAAATATGACTTCAAACTCTAAAAGAATATTCATAGGATTTCACATTAAATAAGTCTTCTAAATAGGACTTATAAATAATTTTCTCATTCTTTTTTAATATACCCCAAAAAAAATCCCTTGGTTCATTAATTAATGTAAGTGCAATATGTGTTAAGCCCCCAAAAAAAAAAAAATTCTTCCCAACATGTAAAGGTACAAAATCAGGAATGATATCTTGTCATTAATTATTTAGAAAACAAAAACAAAAACAAAAAAAAAAAAGCAACTCAACATAAGATTTTTATGTTTCTTAAACAACAATTTCATTCACCTTATTGTGAAGAAACATTCATCAAATATTTCATGTATGATAGAGACCTAGATTCTCTTTTTATTTATTTTCTAAAAATATCCGTGCACATTATGATCAAACCTCCTTAATAAAAACCTAAAAACTCATATTTTTAAAACAAATTCATCATCGTTTGGGAACATACTATATTAATAACTTTTTTAGCTTATTACAAAAAAATTGCAGAAAAATAGAAAAAAATAATGACAACTTATAGTGACTTTTTGATTTTTTAACTAAAATATATATCCCCAAACAAGGCTATTATTAGTCACACATTAAAGAGTAGGATCTAAGTCCTAGCTTCTCCTCTGGGTTAAATTTGAAAGAACTAGTAGGCCAAAAATCAATTGAAAACACATTTTTGTGACTGAAACCTAATCACAAATTTTATTTTGAAAGATTGTTGGTACAACTTGGACAACCAAAACCCTTGGTAGTCACTTGTGTGTAGCTAGATTTTTTTATTTTTTTATTTTTGAAAAAAAAATATTATAAACTCAAAAATAATAATTTAAAAAATGGTTAGAAAATAAAACGCATGGTATATATATTTAAATGTCATGTGTAATACATCCCATATGAATTTGATCCACACATTATTAATGACTTTGTAAATTATCACTTTTTTTTTTAATTTCATAATATATGTGGTTTATTTGGAGACAACTCCAACACTTGATACCAAAAAAAACAAAAAACAAAAAAAAACCACTAATCATTATTATCTTAGACCAAAAAAATGAGGGAAAGTCATGACTTGAATGATAATTCAACAATCTAATACAATGATCTTGTTATTGTATATTTAACAGTTTAATTTTAAAGTTAAAGTACAATAATGTAATTTTAAAACATAATTTTTTTATAATGTCAAGTTTTAATATTATTTTATCTAATTTTATATGAAACTTGTTCAATTATTTATTTTATTATAATAAAAAAGAGTAAATTACACTCCTAATATTTGAAGAAATTATAATAAACTCTACGATTTTGACATAATTAATTACGTGGGTCTCTTTTTTAATATGGTTACAGATATTAAAACTAATGTAAATAGTGTAAAAGCATAGGATAAATAATGAAAAATACACATTTGAATGTAAAATAGAGGTGTTTTGAGTTTGTAGTTACCCGTTAAAAAAATTATAAAAGAGATGGCAATTATCATTTTTTTCATCTATATGACTATCAAATTATTAATGAAAATATGATAAGTGTTATATAAATTAAAATTTTAAAGGAGTTTAATGTAATTATATTTAAATTATAAGATTTGTTGTATTTTTATCAAATTTCAGAAGTAATCAATGTAATTTAAGTAACAAAAAAAAAATCATTTAAAAAAATATGATAGGAAATTCTAATTCATGTTAAAATAGTCAGCGAGTGCTGATTAGGGTTTATATGGTGGAACTTGGAGAACTGGAAATTGAACCATTCACTCCTCCACAAAAGTATGTCATCACTCACACACTGGAAAGTACTAGTCCGCTTTTGTTCACAGAATATATGTTTTTTAATTGATAAAAAATAATAAAATTTATATCTGTGATGGAATTATTATGTATATATTTTTAAATATGAATCCCACTATCTTAAACTAATAGTAGATCTAAAAAATTAAATCAAATGGAGTACTTATTAATTATAATTTTTAATATTTTACAAAAATATTTTACATAAATATTTATAATTGATTTTGAGAAAGATAAAAAAAATGTGTTTGGTTTAAGTTTAGAAGGATCATTTGTATGAAGGATCATTTATATGCGGTTTGAGTTGAGAAGGATCATTTATATGAAGGATCATTTGTTAAAGTCAAGATGGTGTAAAACCAGCATAAATATTTATAATTGATTTTGAGAAGGATCGTTTGTTAAAGTCAAGGGATTTGAGCCAGCTGTGTTTGAAGTCCTGATTCTTAAACTTGGAGACTTCCTCTACATAGTTCTCCAAGGTGGCGTCATTCCCAACCTGGAACGCTTTGGAAATTTCGGAGTTAGCTTTTTCCTTCCCCTTCTTTGATTCTTCCAAGTCGGCTTCCATCTTGGCAATCACCTCCTTGGCTAACTTGAGCGCATCCTCGATCGCATTTGCCCTCTCCTCGGCGGCCAATCTGAGCCGGTCAGAACTCCTCTCCTTTTCTGCCTCAGCATCGGCCCTTACACTTTCCTCCGCCGCTCTCGTTGCCTCGTGCTCGGCTCTTTGAGCGGCCTCCGCGGCCTTGCCCTTCTCACTTTCAATTTCCGTTTTCAGAAAGCTAATCTGTTCAATAGCATCATGTTGACGGCGGCCTATCTCGGATATCCTTCCCGCCGTCTACAAAACAGGGAATTAGAATAAAAATAAAAATACATATATATAATAATAAATAAATAAATAAAAATATAGGCGGAAAACGGCAGACAAGGATCAAGTCATGTTCTAGTATGGCCGACTGAGCGGCTAATGCTAATGCTATTGCTAGCAAGTCTGGTTCCGTCCGAAAGGTTTCCCTGTCAGTCGATAGGGAAATTGGCGAAGCCATACTCAAGGCCACGGTCGGATCTTTAAGAGCCGATGCATCAGAGGAAATCGACACATTTTTTATCCTTGGTTGAACCACAAATGCCACAACCGAGTCCGACTCCTCTATGCGCGGCCGTTCGTCCACAACCGAGTCTGACTCCTTTATGCACGGCCGTTTGTCGGTAGGGATTTCCTCATAGTCGACTTCGCTTTCGGCGGGACGTTTCTCCCTCCTCGGATCATTCCTTTGACTCAACCGTTCAACTGGCTGCTCCGTCTCGGCCATCTCAATTTGAGCCATTTCTTCCGCAATAACAGGTAGAGAAGACTCAATCGTGGCAGTAGGTTTAGAACGGATGGTCTCGGCCCTCCTCCGGGCTGCCATCCGTTCGGCGTTTTTCCTCCTCTCCAGTTGCATAAGCGATTCCCCCACCATGTTCTCAGGATACAAGCCGGGAAGATCTCCTAAATCAGTAAAAATGTCTCCAAAAGTGACGTCCCCTCGACCTGAAGTGGATGGAAGGTTGGATGGATTAAGGCCGGCTTCTTCAAATGCCAAGTTTAGAGCCTCATCAACCTCTTCGGCTTCCAAAGCGGACTGACTCGGCTGCTCGGCGACTTCCTCGGCCACTGGCTCTTCAGCCTGCTCCGAATCAGAAGCTTCCAAACCAATCTGCCTAAGGCTCTTGAAGCGAGGAAAGATAAGGGCAATGAGTTGCTACTCGCCCTGCGGAATTAGAATGTTGTCTGCGGCCGAAAATGTTGTATAAGTTGGCTCGTATTGCAGAAGTATATGGGATTCCCTCCCTTGCTTCTAGAGGTTTGGACGGCCGAAAAACTAGAGTGCGGTTTTGATTTCCGCAAGCACAGCGTCGTCGGCCGAAACCAGAGTTTTCTTCAAATCATTTCCTGCACAAATAAAACCATGAGAACACGAAAAGGAAGCCGAATAAACATAGGGTAGATAAACGCAAGGAGATATACGGCCACCTGGTTCGCCTCTCCGTCTAGGTATAGGATCTAGGCGATCTTCGCCTTTGCCAAACTCCCAGTTACCTCGTACAACAACCATGACATCATCAACTCGCTTGCCAGAGCTGGCAAGCATAGTCACCAAGTGATGGTCGGTGTCCTTGGCCCTGAGGAAATAGCGCTTATGTCGGCTAGAAGATTTGGCCAAGGCATAACAATGCCGAATAGCAGGTATGCCAAGATTGATCTTAAGACGTCGGTTCAACTCTATAATCCCCATTATGATTCAAAAAAAATTTACATTAGGTTGGGAAGGGATTAGACCCCAATGGCGAAGAACGGCCCTAAGAAATGGGTGAAGGGGGAAACGGACTCCGCCTTCAGTAATTCATAAGAGAGGGAAGATGACTGTGCTTTCATCAGCCCTCTCCATATCAAGGGTGCTGTCTGTCATGAGTGATAGATGGACATCGTCGGGTGTAGATGCGCCCGTGGGCCTCATGCTACAGTTCAGACTCAAATAATCACGGTCCTGAATCTAGTCTCGTAAAGTGCAATGCAAGACTGATAAATCACCAAAGAGTCCAAATCCGGCAAATCGTTTTGAAAACAGATTTTTAGAAAGAAGTGCCAAACATGGACTACTTTGCCAGATACAGAGTCGCCACCTAAATATTTCATTTTAGGGGGATTTAGGAAACCCTGACTCGTTGCCTAAGGCCACGTGTCTGTCATCACCAAAGTTGCCTCGGCTCGGGAACTTAGGTACGATTGGGGAAGGTCAGCTATGAGCACCCCCGCTCGCCCGATCAAAGATCGACCACTACAAAACATGATATCTCGTTTTTGAAAACACATGTGTTCTTATTCCGATTAATTAGCTAGAATTACTATGTGATGTGCACAGCAAAACAAGTATAGACTAGATCACCTAATTTGGAACAAAGCATTGCATATCCGTTTGTTCGGAAAAATGGTTTGAGTTTTACTACTCACAAGTAGGCTAAAATACGGATTTCAATGAATTGTCCCAATTCAAGCAATCCAACCTTCACCCACAGGCATTCAGGTAGTTACATCACATACGTAAATAGCCTCATGGTAAGCATACTGTCATGGCAACACTCATACACATGCAAGCATGTTAAAGCGTAAATGCTTACTTAGTACTCCAAGCCAAAACAGAAACTAGTTAGTATTCAAATGCATGATCCTAGTTCATGTTAAGATGGCTAATGCAACACATGCAAAATGCAACTAGAAATAGGCTCGGCTATTCTAAGATGTCATGTGAAATGCAACTTGATAACACGTATTCAAGTATGAATTGAAATACAATGCAGTTAGTATGATGCGCCGAGCTCGGTGTATGCAATACAAATGAATGAATACAAACATGTGAGCATAGGAATGCTAATTGAAACATGACCTAACACTAACCATTGTAAGCGGTTAAGTAAAAGAGAGAAAGACGTGGGGTTGGAAGACATTCACACACTCACGCACACTTATTACAAAATTCGCCCTCTCGATGGAGGGTCCGAATAAATAATACAAATCAACTAATTAATTAACTACCCTAGCTAATTTAATTATTACATAACTCTTAACTAATTTAACCAAATTAGCTAAGCTATGAAACTAAAGAGGCAGCCACAGCTCCGCCTCGGAATGATTGAATGATGCATGCTTGATTGCCTCACTCGAAAACACGTTGCCATGCCACATGTTGCCTCTGTTTGCACTGTTTTACACCTCTGAAAATTGCACAAGTCCCAAGGATGCTTCCGATCCACTCCCTAAGCACTGTGAGATGTCACCGGCCAAAATATAGGAACATCGGCCATGTGGAATTGGTCATCGACCATTTGTGAGGATCTCGGCCAACAATGTTTAGTCGGTCAGCACTGAAGATGGCTGCCTGGCCATATCTTCTTGCAGAATGCTGTTTTGCTGCAGCAGAGGACAAACAGAGCATGGCAATGCATTTTCAAGGCAATGTCTGCACAAACAAAGAGTAGGATCTAAGTCCTAGCTTCTCCTCTGGATTAAATTTGAAAGAACTAGTAGGCCAAAAATCAATTGAAAACACATTTTTGTGACTGAAACCTAATCACAAATTTTATTTTGAAAGATTGTTGGTACAACTTGGACGACCAAAACCCTTGGTAGTCACTTGTGTGTAGGTAGATTTTTTTATTTTTTTATTTTTGAAAAAAAAAATATTATAAACTCAAAAATAATAATTTCAAAAATGGTTAGAAAATAAAACGTATGGTATATATATTTAAATGTCATGTGTAATACATCCCATATGAATTCGATCCACACATTATTAATGACTTTGTAAATTATCACTTTTTTTTTTAAATTTCATAATATATGTGGATTATTTGGAGACAACTCCAATACTTGATACCAAAAAAAACAAAAAACAAAAAAAACCACTAATCATTATTATCTTAGAGCAAAAAAATGAGGGAAAGTCATGACTTGAATGATAATTCAACAATCTAATACAATGATCTTGTTATTGTATATTTAACAGTTTAATTTTAAAGTTAAAGTACAATAATGTAATTTTAAAACATAATTTTTTTATAATGTCAAATTTTAATATTATTTTATCTAATTTTATATGAAACTTGTTCAATTATTTATTTTATTATAATAAAAAAGAGTAAATTACACTAGCCTCTCCTAATATTTGAAGAAATTATAATAAACTCTATGATTTTGACATAATTAATTACGTGGGTCTCTTTTTTAATATGGTTACAGATATTGAAACTAATGTAAATAATGTAAAGACATAGGATAAATAATGAAAAATACACATTTGAATGTAAAATAGAGGTGTTTTGAGTTTGTAGTTACCCGGTAAAAAAATTATAAAAGAGATGGCAATTATCATTTTTTTCATCTATATGACTATCAAATTATTAATGAAAATATGATAAGTGTTATATAAATTAAAATTTTAAAGGAATTTAATGTAATTATATTAAAATTATAAGATTTGTTGTATTTTTATCAAATTTCAGAAGTAATCAATGTAATTTAAGTAAAAAAAAAAAAAATCATTGAAAATATGATAAGTGTTATATAAATTAAAATTTTAAAGGAGTTTAATGTAATTATATTAAAATTATAAGATTTGTTGTATTTTTATCAAATTTCAGAAGTAATCAATGTAATTTAAGTAACAAAAAAAAAATCATTTAAAAAAATATGATAGGAAATTCTAATTCATGTTAAAATAGTCAGCGAGTGCTGATTAGGGTTTATATGGTGGAACTTGGAGAACTGGAAATTGAACCATTCACTCCTCCACAAAAGTATGTCATCACGCACACACTGGAAAGTACTAGTCCGCTTTTGTTCACAGAATATATGTTTTTTAATTGATAAAAAATAATAAAATTTATATCTGTGATGGAATTATTATGTATATATTTTTAAATATGAATCCCACTATCTTAAACTAATAGTAGATCTAAAAAATTAAATCAAATGGAGTACTTATTAATTATAATTTTAAATATTTTTACAAAAATATTTTACATAAATATTTATAATTGATTTTGAGAAAGATCAAAAAAATGTGTTTGGTTTGAGTTGAGAAGGATCATTTGTATGAAGGATCATTTATATGCGGTTTGAGTTGAGAAGGATCATTTATATGAAGGATCATTTGTTAAAGTCGAGATGGTGTAAAACCAGCATAAATATTTATAATTGATTTTGAGAAGGATCATTGGTTAAAGTCAAGGGATTTGAGCCAGCTGTGTTTGAAGTCTTGATTCTTAAACTTGGGGACTTCCTCCACGTAGTTCTCCAAGGTGGCGTCATTCCCAACCTGGAACGCTTTGGAAATTTTGGAGTTAGCTTTTTCCTTCCCCTTCTTTGATTCTTCCAAGTCGGCTTCCATCTTGGCAATCACCTCCTTGGCTAACTTGAGCGCATCCTCGATCGCATTTGCCTTCTCCTCGGCGGCCAATCTGAGCCGGTCAAAACTCCTCTCCTTTTCTGCCACGGCATCGGCCCTTACACTTTCCTCCGCCGCTCTCGTTGCCTCGTGCTCGGCTCTTTGAGCGGCCTCCGCGGCCTTGTCCTTCTCACTTTCAATTTCTGTTTTCAGAAAGCCAATCTGTTCAATAGCATCATGTTGACGGCGGCCTATCTCGGATATCCTTCCCGCCGTCTACAAAACAGGGAATTAGAATAAAAATAAAAATACATATTGAGAGGGTAATTTTTGGTAAAAATTGGGCCGAGCTATGAGATGGGCTTTGTGGCCCAAAGTGCCAAAGACTTGGTGGAAAGGCCGCAAATTAAGGAGGCCATACTCAAGGCCACGGCCGGATCTTTAAGAGCCGATGCATCAGAGGAAATCGGCACATTTTTTATCCTTGGTTAAACCACAAATGCCACAACCGAGTCCGACTCCTCTATGCGCGGCCGTTCGTCCACAACCGAGTCTGACTCCTTTATGCACGGCCGTTTGTCGGTAGGGATTTCCTCATAGTCGACTTCGCTTTCGGCGGGACGTTTCTCCCCCCTCGGATCATTCCTTTGACTCAACCGTTCAACTGGCTGCACCGTCTCGGCCATCTCAATTTGAGCCATTTCTTCCGCAATAACAGGTAGAGAAGACTCAATCATGGCAGTAGGTTCAGAACGGATGGTTTCGGCCCTCCTCCGGGCTGCCATCCGTTCGGCGTTTTTCCTCCTCTCCAGTTGCATAAGCGATTCCCCCACCATGTTCTCAGGATACAAGCCGGGAAGATCTCCTAAATCAGTAAAAATGTCTCCAAAAGTGACGTCCCCTCGACCTGAAGTGGATGGAAGGTTGGATGGATTAAGGCCGGCTTCTTCAAATGCCAAGTTTAGAGCCTCATCAACCTCTTCGGCTTCCAAAGCGGACTGACTCGGCTGCTCGGGGACTTCCTCGGCCACTGGCTCTTCGGCCTGCTCCGAATCAGAAGCTTCCAAACCAATCTGCCTAAGGCTCTTGAAATGAGGAAAGATAAGGGTAATGAGTTGCTACTCGCCCTGCGGAATTAGAATGTTGTCTGCGGCCGAAAATGTTGTATAAGTTGGCTCGTACTGCAGAAGTATATGGGATGCCCTCCCTTGCTTTTGGAGGTTTGGACAGCCGAAAAACTAGAGTGCGGTTTTGATTTCCGCAAGCACAGCGTCGTCGGTCGAAACCAGAGTTTTCTTCAAATCATTTCCTGCACAAATAAAACCATGAGAACATGAAAAGAAAGCCGAATAAATATAGGGTAGATAAACGCAAGGAGATATACGGCCACCTGGTTCGCCTCTCCGTCTAGGTATAGGATCTAGGCGATCTTCGCCTTTGCCGAACTCCCAGTTACCTCGTACAACAACCATGACATCATCAACTCGCTTGCCAGAGCTGGCAAGCATAGTCACCAAGTGATGGTCGGTGTCCTTGGCCCTGAGGAAATAGCGCTTATGTCGGCCAGAAGATTTGGCCAAGGCATAACAATGCCGAATAGCAGGTATGCCAAGATTGATCTTAAGACGTCGGTTCAACTCTATAATCCCCATTATGATTCAAAAAAAAATTTGCATTAGGTTGGGAAGGGATTAGACCCCAATGGCGAAGAACGGCCCTAAGAAATGGGTGAAGGGGGAAACGGACTCCGCCTTCAGTAATTCATAAGAGAGGGAAGATGATTGTGCTTTCATCAGCCCTCTCCATATCAAGGGTGCTGTCTGTCATGAGTGATAGATGAACATCGTCGGGTGTAGATGCGCCCGTGGGCCTCATGCTACAGTTCGGACTCAAATAATCACGGTCCTGAATCTAGTCTCGTAAAGTGCAATGCAAAACTGATAAATCACCAAAGAGTCCAAATCCGGCAAATCGTTTTGAAAACAGATTTTTAGAAAGAAGTGCCAAACATGGACTACTTTGCCAGATACAGAGTCGCCACCTAAATATTTCATTTTAGGGGGATTTAGGAAACCCTGACTCGTTGCCTAAGGCCACGTGTCTGTCATCACCAAAGTTGCCTCGGCTCGGGAACTTAGGTACGATTGGGGAAGGTCAGCTATGAGCACCCCCGCTCGCCCGATCAAAGATCGGCCACTACTAAACATGATATCTCGTTTTTGAAAACACATGTGTTCTTATTCCGATTAATTAGCTAGAATTACTATGTGATGCGCACAGCAAAACAAGTATAGACTAGATCACCTAATTTGGAACAAAGCATTGCATATCCGTTTGTTCGGAAAAATGGTTTGAGTTTTGCTACTCACAAGTAGGCTGAAATACGGATTTCAACGAATTGTCCCAATTCAAGCAATCCAACCTTCACCCACAGGCATTCAGGCAG